CTCGACTAGCAACTTGTGGGCGCTTGTAGCACATTTTGTGGTACATACACTTACACGCACACACACAGTGAGCAGATAACAGAAATTGCTCATACGCCACATAGTCCCCACTCGAAAACCAACTTTTACAACTGTTGCAGTCATGAATAGTTGACTAGCGACTCACGTAACAAACTTCACATTGAAAATACATATAAAAATGGTTAAGGGGTTGCTGTAAATATATGACTAACAGATACCCTGGCGGCAGTTAAGGAAATTCATAAATTTTGCATATATAATAATGCTTATTTTTCTTAAGACTGTATAAAAATCTACCGAGCAGCATTTCCATTCCTCTTGAAAAAAAGTCAACAGTAATACATAAATAGTTTATTTTAGTATCCATCATATTGTCAATACACCCTTTACTGTTACTATTTACAGGGTATATTATCAGTTATTGATAGTTACATATAAGGCAGAAGTCAGACTGCCCAAGCGCCTTCACTTACAATTCTATTAGTTCTTTATCTTTTGGCTGCCTTTTCGGTCCGCCTCTTGGCTGGTCGGTCGCTCGCTCACGCCCATTGCCCTTCGTTCATAAAATATGAAAGCGCAGTGAAATTTATTCAGCTCGACCAACATGAAATATGCGCATTCAGTTTATGAAGCTGATTGGCCCCCAGCGAAATGGACGCTGGCGGCCAAAGTCGGATTGAAAGTTAAAGTTGAAGTTGAATCTGAGGTTGAATTTCAGTTTCAGTTTCAGTTTGAGGCCAGCTCACATGGGGCAAGTGCCACTCACACACACATACACACGACGACACACACACAGATAAGCCCAGCTGCAATCACTGGCTGCTCACTAATTGCGCTGCTCTTAGAGCCGGGCCAGGCATTAATCGTTGTCACGCCCACTGGCCCACGTTGTCCAGCTGCGCATCGAATCAATAATTCATAGCCCTGCACACATTGACGACACGTTTCTTGGCAATAAAATGAAGATGAAAGAAAAACGAAATGAAAAATGAAAAATGAGAAATGAGGAAAATGCTGCAAATGCTCGACAATAATTTAGCGCGTCTGCCAGGTTCTGCTTCTGGTTTCTGTCCAGGACTTGGTATTTGGTGCCTCATCGAGCCACTGCCGCAGTCTTTCCATCGACCTGCTGCCTGGGCCTGAACATGAAATGACTTTATCAAAGCGGACTTCGCTGCTCTCCCAGCTACACTCATTCACTGGCATAGTTACATATAGATACAACTGTACACGCACACACATACATGGAAACGCTTATTCACATATACATATATATGAAATGAATGTCAGGCGCCAACATTGGCAGCAACTGTCGCAAAATTTCCTTTGCACTCATTTTTTTATTTTTTTTTATTTATTTTTTTTTGTAAATACTCTTGCTTGGGATATTTTAGTGAAGGCATTGATTGTGTTTTATAAGATAATTAAAGGAATTAAGTTATATATTCACAGCATCAGTATAAATTTTTAGAAAACATCATAAGAAGTTGTAGATATAATTTGTATAGAGAGAAGATATATGGGATTATTTTAAATTAATATATATATTAATATATATAAATCGAAAATTGCGATAAATCGAAAAAGATTCTATACCCTTAAAGAAATTCATTCTCAATAATTCTCGATAATTTAAATTTCTGTGTAAATCCAAAAAAAAATAAATAAAAAAAAAAAAAAAAAAAAAAAACAAAAAGACTTCCCTGCCGTTTCGAATTATTGGGATTCTACTGTACTTATATATAAGAATCAATCAGTCAATCATTATAAAGATTTCCTTGATTTCCTGAAAGCGCATTCACTATTCGCCTATCCACAGTTCATTTTTCTACTTGTTTTATTTGTTATTTTGTTGTGGGCTATCTTTGTGATTTTTTTTGTTTTTTTTTTGTTTGCTCTTACTTCCGATTATGTCGTGCAGCTCTGTGAGTGTACTTTGATATTGGGACGAGCCATGAAATATTGCTGTAAGTGTATGAATGTTTGTGTCTGTACATATGTGTTGTGTGTATGTCTTTTTGTTTGTATAAGGTTACAATGAAAACTACTGAAAAGTCAATTCATGGCTTTAAAGCTCAGTAATATGCAAAGTAATATTAAAGAAATATTTTAAATTGCTTTCATAATTATTTGCATTATCTTAATGAAGTTGTATAATGTGAATGCTCATCAAGTTGTATATATAAGGCCATTAAGTCAGCTTGAGCTGAATGCATGTATTACAACACAGAGAATTCCCAATTCTCTCGGATGATTAGCCCCTGGGCAACAATTAAGACGCACGCCTATTTGAGCTGCGTAGCTGAGGTGAGCTTTGGGGTCAGTTAATTGGAGCTGTGCGTTAACGCAGCTTTCAGTTGTGAAGGACACGACAGGCAGGATATGTAAAACAGGCTTGTCACACGCGAGTAAACAATTGATTTCACATTACAGAAAAATGACAATCCAAGCAGCAAACAGCAGACAGCAGACAGTAGACGACAGCTGCCAAACAGGCAAATGCTGATAACGTGGCCAACTGGAAAATCAATTAAAGCGCAGGCCAACAAGCATAGCGACTCGTTGGTATATGTTGGGGAGTCGTTGTCTGTGTGTGGTGTTTGTGTGTGTGTGTGGCTGCTTTATGGGTGACTTAATGCGCGTCACTGCCCAGACTAGTCTGTCCTTTAGCTTGCGTCCCCCTTGCCAGGGAAGCAAAACTTAATTATCAGCGTCGGATGTGGCGCTGCATGCAACGGAAATGTGTGTTTGCACACATGCCGCTCTCCCTTCGCCATCCTCCCTCCCACTGGCAGCAGCAACAGCACCACTTGACGCCACCAAACACGCCTCGGCAATTTTAAAACATATTTCACTTGAGTGCACTGCCTTTGCCAGTCCAAGTAAAAATGTCCTCGCAGGGCGGTATGAAAAGAGAAGTGCAGGAAAATGTGAACAATCGGCCAAAAGGTAAATGGAAGCGGGGTAAATGGCAAATGGAAAACGGAAAATGAGAAATGAGAAATGAAACATCAACTGCGACGAACCATAGTAATTAATTTAAAAAGACCTTCGTTGATTTAATGATGCAAAAAATGCGTATAATTCATTAACAATACGAAATGCGCATTCAATTATTTTAAATGCGCAATTTGTAGCTGTAGTAGCATTATATTTAAGTTTCAATGAGACATAAGAAGACCACATCTGATATACGCTTGATGCATATTGATATATATGAAAATGAAACTTGATAAATAACATTTTATATGTACATACAAAAATATTAATTTAAATAAAAATTTACGCTGATATCAGCTATCAGTGAAACAGATTAATTAAATATGTTTCTATTACATATATATATTTATCCTGATATCAGCTTCTACTATACGATAATCTTCATCATTCAACCTCTCTTTCGCTCTTAAAGCTTCGCTATATCTGCTACATACTTGACCTAATAAATTTCAACTACTTGACATATTTGAGAGCTGTTCGACTATGTAACTACTCATACGCAAAATTTGCGCAGCTTATGTACTTCAATTATGTGTACTTCACCTACTTATTTGGCATGCGTTTGCCATACTCATGCCTTGTGATTATGACCCTTGAAACCGCTTATTATCTCCTTTATTAAAGGCAAATAGAGTACAGCTGAACATACAGCTAGACAACAATTGCTCACACGCCAAATTGGCATTAGGCAAAAAATACAAATTTTCATACAGTTGCCGTAATGAATAGTCGAATCCCAAGCAAATCGTTTGAAATTACTCACAAGATATTTTTACCCTAAACTAGTCTCGTTTGTATATCTATATATCAAATACAATACATATTGTATTCACTGGAATAGGAATCGGAATTACTCACAAGATATTTTCACCCTAAGCTAGTCGCTTTTTTACCAACTATACCAACTTCAATACATATTGTATTCACTGGAATAGGAATCTGAATTACTCACAAGATATTTTCACCCTAAACTAGTCGCTTTTTTACATCTATATACCAACTTCAATACACAATAGAAGTGCTCTTGCTGATATAGGATATAGGTCGAACTTATATAATTACTACTCATTACTATTCACTTCTCATGTAGTTTGATAAAACTACTCTCTTTAACGCAGGAATTATGTACTCCAACTTTCCCCCAAAAATTGGTGAGTTTACTTTTGTTTTGTATTCAGCTAACTAAGGGATATGAACTACTCAGAGCTTGTTTACTTGTTTACTCTAAGAAAGGTGACGCCCCTACGTAATTAAACAGTACTCACTTCTACTCACTCTGTTGTAGGTATATAGTTATGAGAGCCGAGTTAGACCTAGATTTTATTGGTTACTATCTCTTGCATATGCTCTAATGCTCATAGAAGCACGACTCACTACTCACTCTGTGGTATATACATAAATATTGTGTACTTACAGTAGTAAGAGTAGTAATTCTGTCTCTGTCAAGCTATAATCTGTCTCTCTTTCACTCTGTCCTAAGTTCTACTACCTCTGTCACGAGTAGCTATAATAATAATACAACTACTATATTTACCTTCTACACACAACTCTACTATAACCCATCACTCTTCCACACACTAATACTCTATCACGCTTCCACACACAACTAGTCTGTTAGGCTCCCACACATAATTACTCTATCTCCCTCCCACTCATAATAACTTTTCTCTCTCACACACATATAAAATCTATCTCTCTATCACTCTCCAACTCAGATAAATAACTAATACGCTCTTTTTAATCAATGAATACTCTCTGCTATCTTTTCTCTGTATCTCTCTCTCTCTCTATATATATATATTTCTCTCTATTTTCTCTCTCGCATAAGTACAAACACAAATTTCATTCAATAGGAAATCTTTCAAATATGATTATTTCACTTTCTTTCCGCATCCAGCAGATATGTATATGATCTTTACTTCTCTCTAGCTCAAAGCTGAACTCTTGGCTAATTGAGTCGGTTTGCATGCACAGCTTACCTCGACTAAAACCAAAGCCTGTCGTCGACCCAGAGGCCGTTGTATCGAGTGCCACGCGACGAGGCGACGCACTTATCTCGCGCTGGCTGCTGTGATTGCTGTTCAGCTGCATTTTGTTGTTATAGTTGCTCGATATGGTGTTGGCACGTTGGCCGTTAGCGGTGCGCTGGTGCTGGTGCTGAAGCTGGTGGTGTGGCATGAATTGTTGCTGTTGCATAGATCGTGCTGCATGCCGCTGCTGGCCAACTGCCGCTGGCATGCTGGCAGCTGTCGACTGCCACAGACTATCCGTGCGGTCCGATATCTTGAGGCCGTTTCCGATTTCAATCTCAATTTCAATTTCAATTTGCAATTGCAATCGTAATTGCAATTGAATGTGCAGATTTTTGTGGTGCAATCAGTGAACAATTTGTGTGTTTAAACATAAATAAATACGTATGTGTGTATCTATGTATTTCTGCTTATAGAGCCAGTGCTAATTGCCACAAGTTGCAGCAACAGAAAGTTGCTCCGAAAACTTTTCGTTTATTTAAGTTGCGCTTTAAGCAACGCTCGAATGCTTTACAAGCCAAGAACTCTATTAAAAACTTTCAGTGCCCCACACAAACTTTGAGTACGAATGCACTCGCAATTTATTTAAATGAGCACAGCAACAAAGGCAATTCCATAAACACAAATGCAACCAGAGCTGGGAATTCTAGTTCGGTTTTGTTAATCTGTCGTTGCAGGCAGCGTTCGTAAGGTTCAGTAAAACAGTTATTGCAGCATGAAATGAACGATTTATGGGTCACAATCGTTGCAGTTTATGCAATTAGTTTAATCAATAGCTAAACAAGTCCTCAATTCATTAACTTTTGCATTTCAATTGAATTGAGAGCATAGAAATCACTGAATAGCCTCATTGGCTCATTTGAATAACTCCCTCTATGCGAGCCTATGCTGTACCATTAAACACAACTCTAATTAAAGCCCACAACAGTTTCGCTTACTCAGAATCGCCTGACTGCTGCGGCTGTTCGTGCTCATGTGCAGGCAAAAAACCAGGCTGAAACTAATTTAAACAAAATTAAATTGTAGGCTGCCGAGCGTCGAAGTTTCGTTCACTTTGTTTTCATATGAATATTTTGTTTTTGTTTTTAATTAAATTTTGTATTTTCCTTTTATTTTAATTTAATTTTATTTTATTTATTTTATTTTTTTTAAGTTTATTTAATGCACTTGAAAGCGTTTGCTTTGTTGCCGCTGCAGCGTTCGCCGTGCGCTGACCACCAGCTTTGTTTATAGACGAGTCCCAACTGAACTGAACTCTAGTGTTATTTAATTTATTTATTGCCTACATAGGTAGGGTGCCGAGTAGCCCTCAAATAGCCCCATGCTCAAACATTGCATGTCCTGCTCAGGTTTTGCGTAATGTGCAGTGCGCTCTGTCCGCTCGTTGGTCACGTACAATGGCTGAACGAACGAAGGGTTGGGGAGTGGGACGGAGGGGGGGGGCCTCCTGGTACTTTGATGAACGACCAATTTGCGGAATTGGACAGCTATGGACATGTTAATAGCTCGAATGCATAGAACGTTTCCCTTGCGAAGATTTGGCTGCACGCGCGGCCATATGTTTTGAGCTCAAGGATGCAGGATATGCACTGTCGCAAAAAAGCGGAAGACAGCCTCTCGGTTATGTTAAATGCCAAAAGCAGCTTTTGTGTCTTTCTATCAACCTCGAGCTAGATACGATGTGGTGTACCTATATGCACCTATATATATGTATATGTATATGTATATCTACTCGTCTATCTATACGATACGATAGATGAGAATGGCATAAGCCACATTAACTGAGAGCCGAGCAACTGTAATTGTAAGCGAACCTTGCGGCATGCCGCATCGCCCGCTTCGGCATGCTTCATTATGTTCGACTTGGACTTGGTCACAAAAGTCAAGTAAAAGCCAGGCCAAGTTGCAGGTGGCTGGTGGCAGGTGGCTGGTGGCAGGTGGCAAGAGGCAAGTAGGCCATTTTGTGCATGTTCTTAGGACACACAGAGCTGAAAGTATTTTGACTTTCAACCGGTTGCTCCCGTGGGCAGGCACAGCAAGTGAAAGTCATGCAAAGACTCTTGACTCTATTTCTCTCCCTTTCTTAGTCTCTCTTACTCTCCCTGACTGTCTTGGTCTCTCTTTCGTTGTTGGCATTTACATGCTTGCATAAGCCTGAATATTTCATAATACGCCACTGCAATCCACCTCTGTATACATTTGAGAGCCCGCTGTCGACTCGTTATCGTTGTGCCTGCTCAAAAATTGAATTGTAAATATTTAAGTAGCAGCGTTTTTATTTTATTCTTTAGCAGGCGTTGAGTGAACTTGAGAAACTTAGTGTAAATAACAAGGTATTTATTTAAGTGGCACCTGGGCATACAATTGTTAAAGTTAAATTGCTTATAGACCCATTTCAATATTAAAGTAGACTACCTAGACGTAGGCTGAAGACATTATTGAGATAATGAAAGAGGAAGGGAGAAAGTGAAAGAGAGAGACGGAGATGGAGCTGGAGATAGTAAGGAGAGTGAATACAGATAGACAAAGAAATGGAAAGCGATACAGATGTAGTGAATGAGAGACAGAGATAATGCATTAGAGGGTAAAGATAACGAGAGAAAGAAAGAGAGACAGACAGAGAAAAGGAAGAGAAAGATAAGAAAGATAAGGAAAGAGAGAGAGAGAGAGAGAGAGAGGAGAGAGAAACGAGAGAGAAAGACAAATATAACGAAAGAGAAAGAGAGAGATAATACAGATATAGTGTATGACAACGATAGAGAGTTGAAGAGAGAGAGAGAGAGAGAGAGAGAGAGAGAGAGAGAGAGAGAGGTAACCAGAGAGACAGAGCGAGACAAAGATATTGTATAAAGAAAGAGAGGGAGACAGAGAGAACCCGAGATAGAGAATTAGAGACTGAGAGACACATTTTTCTCTTTAAATAATTATTTGTTTCAATAATATTTATTTATTTTCAATAACACATTAAAATATAAAAATTAGCATTCAAGAGTTCTCATTTCGAACTATAATGAATGCAGTATAATGAATTAATATTTATTGCCATTAAACATAATTTAATTTATTTAAAATTCAATAAAAACCCACTCATTAAAACAGAGAAACCTTTTTATAAACCATTGAGAGAAAGACAAATGTAGAAATGTAAATAACAACACATTGTCCGCAGCTCCATTACATTAAGGATAACGAGCAAAAAATGCACGTGGAATTAGAATAAATTACTTTAATTAGTTGTTTGTGCTGTGGCCATTTACCGGACAGCTGGACAACAGGACGGCCGGATTGCCTGTCTGCTAGCCGGCAAAGGCTAAGTGCCACCAGTCGTTAAGCCAGCACCACCTCAGCCACCTGAATCACCTGAGTTTCCATTTTATTTGTCCATTTCTGCTGAATGCATTTGCCAATAAACTGCGCAGTCTTTATTGGCACAATCTTATTGGATATGGCGCTGTCCAGTGTTGACCTATGCTTGCCATGGCAACAAGTTGCACGTTAACGTGGACGGCACAGCCGATACACAGCTACAGCTACAGCTATAGACACTGCTATGGCTATGGCTATGACTGTGCAGCTCTGTGTAATATACGTCAGTCTAGGAGTAATTACGTATACGCCCTGTTGCACCGAGGCGCCACTTGTGCCCATTTTGGTGCTCAACAACGACGCCTTTTGTGCGTCAAATTAACAACTTCCGCATGAGGCCACATGCCACTTGCACCCAAATGCGTCATTCTCTATGCTTTGCTCCATTGTGTTCAGACGGAGACAGATACAGACAAACGGACAGACGAACGGACAGACGGCCGGTTGGCAGAGCAGACATAGATAGTGGCGCAGGCCACTTTGGCCATATTGTCAACGCTTGGCCAGCTGCCAGCTGAAGACGTTGACTAACACTGGCAGAGCCTATTATTGCGCTATAATGGCAGCTAAAATGGCAGCAGCTTAGCAAACTGAACTCAACGCGGCTCGACTCTAGACGGCAGACTGCAGTCTGCCTCTGAAATAGGACATTAATTAATAAGGGCTTTCAAGCCGGCATTTAAAACAAGCCGCGCATTAATCAAAGCAAAATCTTTTCAGCTGAAAAGTTTTACAAGAAGGCAAAACATCTAAGAGAATATATTAAAAATATTTAAATACATACAAGTTTATTTTAAACTTATTTTTATAAATCTAAATGCCAACTAAAGCATAAGAGAATATTTTAAATATTTTTATTTATATTTAGACTACGTGTAGATACTTAAATGCCATTTAAATACTTTTTTCATTTTGAATGCCATTCAAATACCTCTTGCATTGAGCAATTGCAATTGCTTCAATCGATTCTTCCCTCAGACTTCACTTTTGTAACACTTCAAAATTTCTTCAAACTCCATTTATATCTAAATCGCAACTTTCGAGCAGCCAAAAGTTGTGAACAATTTGTGTGCCTGAAGCCTGCTTCAAATTTAAAGTATTTGCCAAGTGAGAGCCACTGCCAAAAAAGTGTCGAAATAAACGACTAGAACATACCATATAAATAGTAGTAGAAATACAAAAAAAAAAAAAAAAAAAAAAAAAATGACTAAAATATGATATTATATATCTTTATATATTGCTAACTTAAAGACTAAAGTTAATAGCCAAAACATATTTTCAAGATTTAGATAACCCTGCAAATTTATTCAGAAAATATTTTGTTAAGAAACTCTGAATAGTTTTCCGGTTTATCCTCCAGAAATAATAAATTCATTATTCTTTCTCTTGCCTTTTTCCACACACAACCATTTTCATATATTATTTTAGCACTTACTTCTTGTCTAGCCTTTAACAAGTTTTTATTGCTGGGTATTAGGCAAAATCAAATATAATAAAATATTCGAATCTAAGCATGACATAAAAGATAAAACATGACTGTCGTTTATTTTAGAAATTCATAAGCGACTGCCCAGCCAGACCAGATATTTGCTGGCACATCTCGAGAATGAGATAGAGAGAGAGAGAGAGACAGAGGGAGAGTGGGAAAGCTAAACGGAAGACTAAGTGAAAAAACCGACGAAAAGTTTTGCAGCTAAATGCAAGTATTATACAGTGTGTGCTTGATTGTTTTTTTTTTCTATTTTTTTTTTTTTCCATTTTGTATTTGAGGCTTAGCCGCTTTTCTTAAGTTTTGCCAAGGCTCTGCCCCCTTGAGTCAGTCGGTGCATTGAACTAGACGCTGTGCTGTGCCATCTAGCTGTTCCTTCTTGGTGCTCGATTGGTTGGCAGCCAACGCCACGGGCCGAGCCTTGGCTGCGCTTTGTGTTTGTCTTTGCGGCCGCAGTTGACAGAGTAAAGCAAAGCGAGAGATAGATAGAGTGAGAGAGGGTGGGCGAGAGGTTAGCGGGTCAACAAAGTGGAACGTGGAACGAGCGCCGTGCAACGTCTCACAATTTTAATTTCTTTTATTTTGGCCATCTGTTTGTTGGCCTGTGTTTTGTTTAGCCTGCAATTTATTTGTTTTACTTTTGGTTTCGTTGCGTTCGCTGCGAAATGAGTGGACAAGAGTATCAGCTGCCAACTGCCAACTGCCAGCTGCTAGAATCCAACTTGATGCTAAATTAGAGACCTAAATAGGCGAACGGATGGGGCATTGGGAGCTGAGGTAAGGGCGAGGCCCAAGGGACAGGCTTTAATTACCTAATGATGAAAAATGCTCGAACATTCTGTTCTGCATTGTCAGCTTTGTGATACCCTGGCATAAACTTGTCAACGGAGTTGATTGGTTAGTCAGGGAAAGAGCGAAAAGAGAAATGAGCAGTGGAAAATGAAATGAAGACTGACAGGTGGACAAAGAAAAACAGAAATGAAATATTAATTGAGAGAGACCGAGAAAATGAAGAACATAAACATGATGGGAGAGGAGGGTGAAAAGAAAGCGAGAGAGAAAGCTTGAGGGTGGGATCATAAGAATAGGACAGAAAGATTCAAGAATTATGTGTATGAGAAGGCCAGTAACAGAGAAAGAGAACTCTCTGGAGATTTAGAGAGAAAGAGAGGCAGACAGACAAAGAGAGTGAGAGAGAGGGAGAGAGAGAGGGAGAGAGAGAGAACGACTGAGGGAGTTAAAAAGAGAGAGAGAGAGAGAGAGGTCAGATGGAAAGAGTTAGATCACCAGATAGAAGATAGATAAGAAGCAAGACAGAGAGAGAAAGGGATAGAGACGCGAGAAAGTGAGGGAAGCAGGAGAGACAGCGAGAGATTAACAATTTAAAGTCAGGGGATCAAGCCTCTTTCCGCTAAAGGAACAATAAGAGATGTGGGAATATAAAGATAACGCAAAATAAAATCAACCCACTTACATATACATACATATACGAAATACAGGGTATCTCCAGGCTATGCTTGACTCAATCGCACTGCTTATCTACGCTTTTATTTGCAGGTCGCACTGGTCATTAAAGTCGAGTACAGATGATGGTTTATGTGGGTTCTGTTATTACGAGCAACTGGAAAGCGTCAAATGAAGATGTCGCTTGTCCGCCTCTGTGTGTGGACAAACTTATCATGATATAGTCATCGCTTCGGCCTAGGGCCAAGGAAGATACACACAGCAAGAAAGAGATAGAGAGAGAGAGAGAGAGAGAGAGAAAGGGAGACAGACTCAACCCAGCTGAAACAAACATCAAGTATACGCCTCAGAGCACAGTTAAGCAAGCAAACTCTCTGCGCTCGCTCGGCCGCAAGACGCAACTTTATGGTTGCAAAGCACTTAGCAAATGTTAGCCTAATGTGTTGTATACACACACACACATCCTCTCTCACACACATACATACACAACGTTTGCACAGAGAACATGATTTAGTTATGTAAATGCACTTTGTAACTTGGATTTGGGCTAAACTAATTCAATTGCAAATCAAAAACGCAATAGGAAATCAAATGAATATTGCAAATTCATTGAATATTTATACTTACAGTCTGCGAATACATGCACACACACACATGTATTCATTGTGTAATTTACGAAATTAAATGCAAAATATTTATAGTATTTAAATTTAAATTAGTTTTTAGGACTCACCAAGTCTACGTACTACAGATGAGCGAGAGAGTTGTGAGAGAGAAGCGGTTGTTTTTTTTTTATTTTGGTTAGTTGGTTAGTTGTTATTTTTAGTTGGTTGATGATGCGTTTTTGTTATTTGTTTGTTATGCAAATTTGTACAGAGAGCGTTTTCCAAATTCGGCGAATTTGTTGGGCAAGCAACATGAAATGTTTACGTTTGAAGTTAGTTGAAATTATTTATTTATATTGCATATATATGTATATATATATATATATATATATGTATATATATATCTATTTGTAATGCAATATTAGAAAACTAAAACTAAGTCTCTAATGCATGCAGGCGGTGCATGCTAGGCATGTGTGAGAGGGCACGACGGGAAGGGAATGAGCGGGGGGCTGGGGGAGCATGTGTACTACGTCTAAGCGAAATGTGAAATGCTATTTATTTGCCGACTGCTGCGACTGCGGAATTAAACTATGTCAACTGCAAAGCCAGTAGGTCAGGGATAGTTAAATACTCCCATGCAAAGAAGCCAAAATGCAGCGCAGCGCAGCAGCCGCAGCAGAAGCAGTTACCTTTTCTATATATATGTTGGCTCTTTGGGGGGTGTTGGGTTTGCCTTTTTTTTTTTTTTTTTTTTGGTGAGGTTGGCTGTTTTTCGTTTTTCTTGAGCGGTACGGGGTTCGGGTGTTCTACACACAACATACACATGACCATACATACACATATATATACACATATATATATTTTGTATTAAAATATATATTTGTATATATATTTGTATGTATATATATATAAACATTGAGAACTGACACACTTACTTTTCATGATGCGATTTCGGTATTCATCGTCGCGCTGCATGGTAACGCTGCCGCCACCGTTGGAGACCATCGAGCTCACTTGTTCCATGGGCACAATATCCTGAAAGTGATCATAAAAGAACTTGTATGAGTTGACAGTCGAGATGCGATGAGCAGTTGCTACTGTTTTCTTAATTATATGTGCCTGTATTTGTTTGTATTAATTACTCCGTATTTCATTACGAGACTCCCATTTATATTTCCTTTACGCTTCAAAAATTCCACAACACAAATATACCCTGTTCATAACTTTTCGCTGGGTACAATAATAACTTTGATATATCTTTTCACAAAACATATATGAGTTTTCATTTGAAAAACTTTTGGCTGCTGTGCACAAATTTGTCCGAGTTTGTTACGAAGTTGAGCACTGTCCGCTGCCACTGGCAAGTTATGGAAACTTAATTAGCAGCGTGTACGGCAGCCAAATTGCATTTATCCAGAAAACATGGACACACCTCATGCGCTCGATGGTGGATGGCATGTCAGACGGTCTGTATATTTCGTATTTTATGGCTGCACTTTTTGTTTTGAATACTCTCGCAAAAAGGCATTGAGAATTGTTGATGTGGAATGCGTGTTAGCCTTTATGGGAGATATATGTATGTATGTATATAAAAAGTTAATAAACTTATTTCAATGTGACTGAGCGCAGCCATGGGGATTGAATTCACTCTGAACTTGTACAGGGAATGTAGAGTTTATAGCTCTGCGTATACAGCTATCGTATACTGAAGAGAACGAACTTTTTTTTTTCTTAATTTTTTTGTGTAGCTCTGAAAGGCATTTTAAATAAGGAAGCTTTTATTTTTAAAAATCTTCCAAATTTACTTGCGAAACTTTAATGCAATATTTTTTTATTATTGTTAAATGAAAAAATCGAATTACTTTTAATAATAATATATATATTTTTTTTTTATTAAATTTTTTTCTTATTTTTATTATTTTATTAAATATTTGTTATTATTTTATTATTTATTTTTTATTTATTATTTATTATTTATTATTTATTATTTATTATTTATTTATTTTATTATTTATTATTTTTTTTTTTCAAAGATTCTGATTGGTTTTATTTCATAAGCATCTGCATCAAAACAAGATATAAAAGAAATTTATGAATATTGCAAATCCAAATATGTGATTTGATTTCTGATTTGCAATATCAACTAACTCCCGTTCAAATCGATTCACCAGCTAATAAGCCCAGCATTAAGCCCTGGCTCATCTGCTCTATATGCACTGCCATCACAAAAGGATATTTAATCTTCGGTAAAGATTTGCTCTACTGTGGTTTACTTTTTCTTTGATTGTACACTTTATGAATCCACTTGTTCAGCCCACACATTCACTCAGCGCTTCATGCTGTTCGCTGCGGTTGTTTCACCCAAAAAATATGAAGTAGATAAATTGTTTTTTTTTTTTTTTTTTTTTTTTTTTTGTCTTTGTTCCCTTTGCACTTTTCATATTGTGCCAACAAAAGCATTTGCCGTATGCGGTTTTTAAATGCTGGCACTACCGCACGTCAACCATCCCCACCCGCCTCCGCTCGACGCCCACGTCCACGCTTTTGGCTTCGGCTTTGCAGTGCCTGCAGCAGCGTAAACATCAGGAGCAGCTGCTGCTGTCATTGCTGCGCTTACCCGTCGAGCTGTGATATTTTTCAATGTTTATTGTTTGCATTCAGTTGCCACATTTTCGCCCTCAACCATCCCGATGTCCCGCTCTCTCGCTCCCTTTATCCCTATCCCTATCTCTCTCTTCCTCTCGCAGCCTGTTTGCCCCACTCATTGGGGGCATTGAGTAAAATGGATTATTTTCTGTGCGCTCGTCGACATTTATTAATGAAATTTGCAGTGAGCCGAATTGGCCATTGTCCTGCTGGATTAGTTCTGTAATAAACGCATTTTGCCCAGCTAAACGTTGAGCCAATGTGGGAATTAGCAGATAAAACTGTTTTGTGTGAAGAAGACTAGCGAGTTGAGCTCAACCAACGGGTCAGCAGACACGAAATGTGAATAAAACCAGCTGCAGTCTCTACGTATTTTGCGGCAAATGATTGATTCTGTGCTGATAAACTGTTGATATATTTGCAGTTCACTCTGGCTCGACTCTCATTTCATTGAGCATTGCGCATTCGTGAGGTAGAGGCAGGAAAGTAATATGCTTTTAGCTGATGGTTTGGCAGTGCTTAAATATATGTGAGCTTGGATTGGCAAAATCAAGTCTGATATGCATTCACCCAAAAATCTTGTGCCTGGGGAACCTTCATAAGAGACTAGAATTTGGGAGCTATGATAGAATTTTCAGCTCTGGTCACTTTTATGGAACTCTTACATATTGTATATTTGTGTATTTGATCAGGGATCTCACATCTTCGATTACAATTTTTGCAATGGATTGTCACAATTCTAATCAATTGCCAGAGACAATTTCAATTGGCAAAACTCATAAGAATTGACGACAAAACAGTTTATGGACTGTAAATTTCAATATATTTATTGAAATTCAATCTTTGCCCATCGATCAACTTCAACTGCACTTAAAAGTGTAAATACAAATATGAATTGATTGATGTGACTGAATTTCAATTGGTTAAATGGAAGAGAGAGAGAGATAGCTTAACCTCAGCAGAAATCTAAATAAAACCAGCAAAAACAAATTAACTTCTTCCAGCTAATATATCTATCTACAATAATTTCCATAGTACAAATACTCAACTATTCAAAACACTCTCAATTTTCTCTTTATTTGCCATTCATGAATCATATTCATGCGTTGTCTCCATAATGAAGCAATAAAATTGCAAATTTCTATAAATTTCTATAAATTTTGCAATTCAATGGCGAATGCCGCAAATGCCGAAAGCCAAAGCAAATAGCATAAATAAATGCAAAACATGCAGACAGTAAATAGCCAAATGCTTTTCGCCCATAAATCAGAGGCCAACAATGCGCAGCAGCGAAACACAAATCGAATGATTTATTTTTGATTATTACTCTCTCTTTTTCTCTCTTTTTATTTTGTGTCTGGCCACTGGGCTATCGCCTTCATCTTTCAGCTGGAACACGCCGAATTGACAATAACTTTCTGTTTAATCTGTCGCAGCGGCAATGCGGGCTGTCAAAATGAGCATCACGTATACGCCATGTAAAATGCGCAATTCAATTTTGATCTAAACACGCATTATGCAGCATATTACACATACGCAACGTGCTCAGAAGAGAGAGAGAGAGAGAGAGAGAGAGAGGGCGCGTGTGTATAAGAAGCCGAATTTAAGAGGCATGCTTTGCCTCTTTACGCCTGCCTAACATATTAACGACTTTTGCATATTGAAAATGTTTTTTTGGCTGCTCAGAATGTGACAAAGTTCTCAACGACCATTTGCCTGCCTCAGTGCCATGCGAGCTGTCACAGTTTCTGGCTGCATGCCAACTGCCATGAAGTACACTACATCTACATGTGTGAGCGACTCTATGTGTGTGTGTGTGTGTGTCTGAGTGTGTGTCTCATACAGGTAGCTGTAGACGAGGCTTCAATTAAAATGTCCACACAAATTGCTTTTCTGTTTGCATATAAACAGAGCAGCAACAGAGCATAGCTAGCACAGCCAGACGCTGATGGCTGCCAACAAATCTATGTATACCTTTGCCACCTGTAATGCTGATGGTGGTGATGATGATGATGATGGTGATGATAATGATGATGCTGATGTGGCTGATGTTCAATAAATTTGCGAATTTATGTGGCCTAAACAGCAAAACTTGAGCAGAATTTATAGCGCTACATTTGAGTTTCAATTAGCCCACAAATGGCAAATGGCTACACGGCAAAAAAAATGAGAGTGAATGCTACTAGGTCTATAAATGAAGTCTATAATAATCAGGTTGTATTTGAATGTTATATATATTTTCGACAAACTCAATACCTATTTTTAAAATAATTAATTAATTAAAGTAGTTTCAGTAAAAAAAAAAAATAAAGTTAATATAAAAGCTAATAGCATAAGCCATAATTCTCATGTAGTCAGCATAATAAATGAACAAATTCATAAATAATTTATTTGTCATATGTTGGTAGCTTAAATACGCATTTATAGCCTCATTGTAGCACAGTGTACAAGCTCATTAAATTAATTTACATAGTTAACACTATTTGTTGTAGTATTTATAGAGACACGTGTACTAAGTCTGAGCAGACATATTAGAGTTTAGCCTTGATAGTCTACTTAGTGCAAGGAAGTTGAGCACTAGGAATTCATATTCCATATACCCTATAACAATCAATATTCCCATTAATTATTCACAGCATTTCTCTCAGTGCTGGGGCACTTGTTAGCCAAGCTCTGAGCTATGCCATATGTTCAGCTTAACTTTATGAAGTCAGTTAGTAAAATGTTTTTTAAAGTTTTAATTTAGTGTTGGGTAGGGGGCCTCGCGGTTGTAATTCGATTGCTTGCTTTTTCTCTGGATGGTTGGGGCAGCTACTTTGTAATGTAAATTAACGGTTAAATTGTGTAAATTGCGACTGTGGCGAGCGCAACGAGCGCAGCTGACAGAGCCGAGCAGAAGGGAAGGCATAGAAAAGGTGGGGCCAGAAGCCGGGCTGTCTGTTGCCCCACACAGCTGTAAGCCAAACAAAGGCTCACAGGGCACACACATACACACATACACACACATATATATACACAGATATATATACGCACACATTATGTTTGGATTAGTGCGAGTGAAAGTTTATAGCTTGTTGTATTGAATAATTAACTTTTATTGATCGCGATTGCGCGCACACACACACACACACACACACAAAGGCTACACAGGGCCACACACACACATAGCGCTAGTAGATGCGCCTCACAAGTTTATTAGTTTGCAGGCATTGTTTGCACGCCAGTTAGCTGGGCATAAAAGGCTTGTGAATGGCCATTGTTAAAAAGCATTCCCTGATTAAGTATATACAGACATATATATACACACACACATATATATATATATATAAACCCATATATACACACACATATGCACATACTTATATCTTGTTGATTTAGTTGTCTGCGGCTAATAAAGTTAACGTGCGCGCTAAACTGTTTGTTGGCCCTGACTTGCTGTAGGTTTAGGCCCTCTCATGCCTCGGGTCGCAAGTGCGCTAATTAGCTTTTAAGCTGTCGGCTGTTGTCCTAACTCTCAGCGGCTTTTGCCTTTGGCATGCTTAGATATCGACGGACAGATTGTAAGATTTGGCTATGAGTGACATGAACTACTTTGGGGATTTGTCCTTATGGCATCTAATGCAAATAATCAATAGAGTTTAATTAGTTTTTGATTAGTTTGCGAAGCGTTTAACCAGGTTCGATAAACACCGAACTGATTGAGTAGAACATGTGCAAATAAATACAATTAGTAGTGTGACGGAGCAAAATACGTTGAAAGCAATTTGAGGGGAATATTAAGGAGTTTAACTGGGTTCGAAATGTGATGAACTGATTGATTAGAATATATATAAATAAATATAAAAGTAACTTGCTCAAAGCGAGAGCGACTTAGTATGAAAGTCTTAACGTTTAACAGTTATTTGTGAGCTGTTTTTGATATATCAGGTGATATATCTATCCATTAACTAAGGAAATAATGGGAACTACTAAAAATGCAAAAAAAAACAAAAAAAAACTATTTAACATTTCTATAAATATATGTTATGGTCTACATATATTTTCTTGTCTAATAGTTCTTATCTAATAGTTTGTTGTAAATTAAATAATTTGTATAACGGCTGAGCACATTGTAAAATATTTTACTCGAATATATAAAATATATTTCAAGATCTTTGTTTGAAATATCTCTGCTCTTATTAAGGTATATAGAAGGGTTAGCCAAGCTGACTGTATAAGCGCACAAGTATAATCTGAGCTGTCATCTGTCTATGTCTATGTCTAACTAAAGAGTTCTTATAGTAATTTCATATACATACTATAAATAATCCTAAAAAGAGCTATTAAAGTGCAACAAGAGTAAATAATAGAGCTAAAAGTTTAAACATGACTGTAAGTAAATCTCTGTCTAGGGAATTTTTGCTTGAAGCAATGACTGTAATGAACTTTAAACTTTGTATTTCGAGCTGTTGAGCTCGAAGCAAAAGCCTTTGCTTACCGCAAATTGATTATAAACTCAAATCACTGATGCAATGTCGATAGCAAACAAAGGCCGAGCCAAGGGCTAGGCACTGTTGAAACTAGCTGAAGGTTTGTGCTCTGTCATGTTCATTCATGAGTTGATTTTGCTTAAGTATATGGAGAGGTTAGCTTAAAAAGGTGCAATTCCTTATATTCCACTCTAGCTTCTTTGTGCTAGTCAAGGAAAATGAACTGAGCTCAGGTAAACCAAGAAAAGTTTGAGCTACAATTGGGAATTAGTTTCTTAAGCCTGTGCTGATGTAAGCTTTCCGCTGCTGGCTGAGCCGAGCGAGCACAGCGAATGCCAGCTCGAGCGTGGCTCAGCAAAAGTTGCCAAATATTTGACTAAAACTTGCATTAAAAGTGCGCCGCGAAAGCCGTAAAGCAAATGCTGCTGCTGCAAACTGATTAAATATCCGGCCTACATTCGCCTCAAAGCGCGTTTATATGAGTTCTTGTTAGAGGGAAATGTAATTTGAAGAACAAAACAAACAGCGCGAAGCGACGGCTTAAGCTGGGCCGGGATAAAAGGACGACAGGACGGCAGGACGACAGGATGTCGAGCAGGTGGCTGTGCGAAACAAAAGCCGCTCCAGTTTAGCTATTTGCTATTTGCCTCAGTGGCACAGCTGGATACGCGCGACAGGAGTGACTATTGTGCCTCGCCTGGCATGGCAATGCGATTACCCGCAGCGAAATGGTTGCAGCATATGCTGAAATGTAGAAGGGAAGAAGCAGCAGCCAGATAGATGAAGCCCCATTCGCCACTTACCTCGTAACGTGTGTCGATTTCTGGCAATTTCTCGAGAAATTCTTCAACCATCTTTTGTTGCACGTGCGAGCAGCAAATCAGTTAAGCACACACACACAGATGCACACACACATAGGTGTGTGTGAAGGTCGAAAGTGTTAGGTAGATTAATTCGTAATTAAAGCTGAAACACCTGTTGTGATTTTTGTCCTCTATTGCTCTACTTGCACTTGATCAAAATTCGTCGGTTTCTGTTTTTATTCAATTTGCACTCTCTGTTATTGTTTTGTCTTCGCCTCTGATTGTCTTTGCCAGGTTTATTGTATTTTGTGTGTGTTTGTGTGTTTTTTTTTTTTTCGTTTTTTGGTCACTTGGCACTTGATTTCAGGCGCTATTTTTAGCTCACACACACATACACACACAGAGATACATATGTGTATATTGAGAGAGACGTGTGAAGATAGCGTCTTATGAACAAGTACGTTCTTTCGATATGCTGTGTGTGCGAGAGATTTTGTTGATGATGATGATGGCAACCAAACGCTGCCCGTTCACCGTTCAGCACTAACAACAAACTGCAGAAAAACAAAACATTTTATAGCCAGGCCGAGGCGACGTGCCGCACGAAGCGACCAGCCCGAGCATCAGCTTGTACTAAAATGCCACAACAGCAACAACAACAACAGCGGCAAAGATGACAAAATTGAGCAAAACTGGCCAAACAGAAGTTCGACAGCTGCCGACGAGCACACAGCAGCCGAGATAAGAGAAGCAGCAACAGCAGCAGCAGGAGCAGAAGCTGCGGCCGCAACATTTTGTAGCATACTTTTGAGCGCCGGCGCGCTTCTCGCAGGGGCAACGACTCCTGCGCTGCTACGGCTGCTACTGCTGGCACTGGTGATGCTGCTGCTGCTACTGGAATGTGTACAAGCCATTCGAACTTCACAACTTGACACACATTTCAAGTTTCAATAGCGAGCTTTTCGCGTAAACAGCATCCACGCACCGTTTTCCGAGTAGAGTTTGTGCCATGTGGAACGTAATTGTTGCTGCAGCTGAAGTTTGTGTTGCCTGACTGCACTTGTAAATAATTTGCAGCTAACGAAGGCGGCGACAACATACTTCAAGCATTTGCTGTTGTTCTGTGCCACTTGCTTTGTCTTGCTTTGTTTAAGCCCCAGCTAAAACAGCTAAAACAAATACGCAGCAGCAAGAACAACACTAAAAGTAAATCTCAATTGGCTTACCGAACCCATTTTGCTGGCAACTAGTCGACGAAAACAAGCAATCCAACGGCAGCAATTCAACAAGCCTTGTCCTGTTTCAGATGTCCACACGCGCTGACCAGTGAGCGCACACTGAACCACGCTGGACATGCAACAATTTGCGGCAAATAGACAGACATTGTCATTAGCGCTGTGAAAAGGCCAAAGGACGTCACACTCTAACAATTGTGGGCGTGTGGGGCCTATCACAGTCAAATAGACGGGGAAACAAAAAAACTAAAAGCAAACCTTTGGTGCATGCACTCCAAATCGTGGGCTTAAAATAAATATACATGCGGCCAATGTCAAAGTTCGAGTGTTTGTTCAACGTGGCGTATTGAAAAGATAAGCTAATATTTTTTGCATGTCCTTGAGTGCAGCTGTTTTGATTTCAAGCGCTGTTTTAATAATTCACAAACTGTGTCATTTTCCAGGCTTTTTGCACACCGCAATTAGTATTAGCTTGTTGATTGTAAATGAATTTGATTTGGTTTTAAGCAAAGTTGAATATAATAAAATTCAAATATGCCCGCGTTGAGTAGCCGCATGAAAGCTGAATGCTACGAAACTCAGGTGTCCAATGAATACATGTAAGCAGTTTCACTGCCTTACTCACCGCATGAGCTTTGAAACTGATGAAAATGAAACGAAATGAAACTGCTTTTCAGCTTAGATTATCGTTTACTGCTTTAACATCTCTAAGAAAAGAAAAACACCGCTTTGTAATTATTCAAACATGTACGCCAGAAAGCTCAATGATATGCCACTCATTTTAGTGACAACGAAGCTAACCCTTTTTAACTGCTTTTCGCATTGCCCTTCCGCCAAGCAGTTCAATTCCATTTCACTAAAATTCAACATTTTACTTTTTTTATATCGTTTACATTGTACAATTTGTAAGTTTTTTTTCTTTATTTTCGTTTTGTATATACACATATATCTCCATATATATATGAGTATGCATGTATGTATATAATTTTTGACAAACTTGAACATTTAGTTAATTTCATTTAGACATTTATAAATTTCATTTGTTACAAATTTTTCATATATATTTTTTGTCATTTTTCATTTTCCTTCGTTCTCATTTTGATATTTGTGTTAACGTTCCTGGCTTAAATGTTCCCTCTTTTGACTCACTTTTTCATTTGTATTTCGTTCATTTTTGTTTTTGTTTTGTTTTTGTTTTTTTTTTTTTTTTTTTTTTTTTTTGTTCTATTCAATTGAATAATAAAAAAAATTAGATAGTTTTACTTTTTGCTATAGACGAATACAAAAAATACATAGGTAAATTTTCATTTGATTCACTAAGTACGTTCAACAGATTTCACATGCCATTATATATATATATATGTATATATATCTTCATTTTTGTTATCTATCAATATACAAAATAAGTTAAACAATTTTATTTTGATCAGACCAAACATTTGCTGTTTTGTCATGTTTTGCAATAATTTCTCATTTATATTCGGATTAAAATTCTTATGTTTTTTCTCGGTTTTGCTATATTTTTCTTAAGATTTGTGCATATGCGAATGTTTGTATGTATGTATGTGTGTGTTGTTTGTATTTATCACCCAGAGAGGCTTTTGTTTTCAATAAATGACTTATCGTTATGCTTCAGTTATATATGCTATCAAATATGATATATACGAATGATTGTAGGCAGGTGGTTGGTGGTTCACTTGACTTGCAATGTTTATCAACTTCTTCTTATCATCATCCTCCTCCCCCTTCTAATCATCTTCAACTATCAAATGCTAACTAAGTTAAATAACTAATAAACTAAACACTAGAGTCTAGATTAACAGCTTAATTAAATATCTAGAGAGAAAGAGAGACGAACCCTGAATACAATGTAAAGAGAATTAAAAACAGCCAAAACAAATTCCCAATATATATTTAAAGCTAGCTGAGGCCCGTCTCCGGGCCGACATCCGCCTCTAGTTGCACACTTGTATAGTTCTGTGCCACATGCAACTGCCACAAGCTGTTCACCTGCTCCGACGAGATGCTGTGCCACGTGAACAGAAACTCCAGCTGCCTCAAATCACTCTCGCCGCTCAGCAAACGCTCACAGTCCGTCTCATAGAGCACATACGGCTGCAGTGTGGTTATCGTTGTATTTGTACGCTGTGCCAGGACACCAGTGATATGGACATCATCTACCCAGAAGTAGTCGCTGTGCTGCGCCGCCTGGTACAGACGCTGCACCACATCCGGCGAATAGACGATCGCAAAGCCCGGACAGTACGGCGGATAATAATGGGCGGGATATTCGCGAAAACTGACGCGCCACTTTGACTGTGAAGAAAGAAGAGAGAGAAATTAGTGTGAGCGTTGAGTATTTCGAAGAGGTTAGTACTAAAATTGAACACTAGATGGCGTTAATCGATTAGTGTTCATATGTTCTTTATTTGGGTAAGGAATGAGGAATACAGAATAAAGCAAATAGAGCATAAATGTAGCTAAATTGATTAAATAAACAAGGTTGCTAATAATGCAGAGCTTCCGCTCTGATGCGTGACAGGAAGTTTTTGATGTTATGCTTAATGGAGCTCAGGAACAATTGTCTATGCTTGACTCAAGCTTTATATAATATAATAATAATGAGTAAAATTGGTATAGTTGGGTAAAACTGGTCATAACTGTAAATCTGTGATAGATAATAGAACGTATCAAGCCCTGAGGCTTTATAGAGCTTAGCTAACATATTTAGCTAACATTTTATATATGAAGCCATAGACGAATTATGCTTTATTTAATATAGCTGAACGATATCATTACAGAATTTTCAGAAAACTGAGCTCAATATAATGACAAGCGAATGATACATGTCAGAACTTGTCTAAATTTTACTCCTCCAATGATAGCTATCAGTCAATAGCACCTGGTTAACTTTCAGGTATACCTATACGTCTTATAGCGTCTATCTCACTCTCACTTATACTCACCCTATAGGAGCGCTTCACACGCGACTTGAGCACAGGCTTGCAGAAGAGCAGCTCGTGCGGTTGCTGCAGCAATGAGCGCAGCGACTGCGTTCGATTCAAGTTGGGCTGGGGCGTTTGCTGTTGCAGTTGCAGTTGCAGTTGCAACGGCTGCGGTTGCTGTTGCTGTTGCTGCTCACGCAGCAACTTGTGCAGTTGCGGTGTATTCACATAGACATCGTCGTCCACCTTGATGAGCAGCTGAGCGTGCGAGCAGTGGCTGCTGAACCACTTGAGTGCCATCACATGTTTGTAGGTCATGTTGCGGTAGGCATCCTGGAAGTTACCCTGCACCATATCCCCGAATCGAGCATTCTCCTGCTCCAGTGAGTGTTGCAGTTGTGGCTCCGTTGGGGGCACGGCTCCCAATAGGAAGACAACGCGCAGTGGCGATGGCGTCGATGACGTTGACGCCGACGCCGACGCCGACGGTGACGGCGCTGCTATTGTGGCCAATCCGCCCCACGTTTGGCGTATGAGCAAACGTTTCTCGGCATTCCGCGGCGCCGTATGAACCAAGATCAGAGCCAGGATGTGCGGCTCACACGCAGGCTGCTCCATCAGATAGCCAAAGTGATGCAGATCGATCAGCTGGCTGGCATCCGAAGACAGATGCGACGGCTGGAATGATGTAGCTGCTGTGGGCGATGGTACGGGCGTCGCCGCATTATCTAGACTAAATACGCTAGGGCTATAATAATAATAATTCGAATAACTACTAAGGTTGCTATTAAGTGGCTGAGTGCGACTAGGGTCGTGTATTATTTGGTTTGGTTTACTGCCATTGGCACTCGATTGCAGTTGCGGCTGTTGCTGCTGGGATGTAGCTGTTGCAGCTGGCGGTGGCTCATCTGTGATTGTTCGCCAAATAAACAGAAAGCAGCAGAAGAAGAGTATGCCTAAGTAACGTTTAGACATGTTGCTATTGCTTCTGTTGCTCTTGTTGTTGTTGCTGCTGCTGCTGCTGCTGTTGCTGTTGTTGTTGCTTGTGGCACGATTAGCTACTGCAGCCATTATAGTGCACCACCGGAGCTTTCACTGCTTTCTGGTTGCACCTCAAACGGAAGCGTTTTCTGCGTGGCTTTGCCATTTAATTGACAATTGACGTGGCTGAAAAAAATGAGGAAATTGATCAAAATTATTAATGGAATGCAAATACAGTGAATGCTGCGTAACAGATAATCTACAGTCCGATAGAAGTTGACAGAGTTGCAAATTCCTATTAACTAACTAACTTTGAGTTTAGTTGTTTGTATTAAAGGAATATTATCGAAGAGTAGCAAATTTCATGTCCACTTTAGTCGGACAATACTGTAATTATATTAATTTTTTCTGTTCCA